CTTTTTAATTTTTTTTGTCATTCGGTCTCATTTTTTGTCATCCGCCCTTTTCCCAGTGTGGAGGTGCCTCACCACTTATACGATACTTTTAAGTGCACAAAATTTAACCCCGTGCCTAGTGTTTACACTATGACATGGATCGGCCAGAAGCTTCTCCCCTGAGAAGCGGTAGGCTAGGCAGTGATGAGAGTCCAAATAAGGTTAGCACCACCGAGGTAGCGGGGTTAGCTTATTAGCCTTTTAGACAAATATTATATATCCATCGTGCAATGGCCAGTTATCTCCTTCATCTTCATCCACAACTTCCTCGTCTCTACCGTTAGAGCGCAGTAATGGCCGATATCGTGACCGACGACTTTCTAAGGACCATGAAATCCAGATACCCAACCGAACAAGCCTCTCTGACATCTCCGTCGGATGGTAATCATATCGCATAGTCGTGTAAATGCTGTATTGATCTAGAATTTCAGTCTTGAACAATCCGTGGTGGATCCCCGTCGCGGTGGCATTTTCGGCGGGTAATAGGCCAGACGCAGTCCCGATAGTGTTCAAATTTGCCTTATCCGACCTCGTTGTAGCTCAGAAGAAGTTTCATATTCAAGGAGATAAGGCTCACCGAGAACAACTGCTACTTGCCCGCAAATTCCGTGATGTCCTATTCAAGGGTGGGATGACGGGAGGTTATTCCAAGGTGAGTTCTAACTAAATACTGCTGCTATAAACCTTGCCGAGAGATTTCGTAGGCGATCAATGCATTGAATGCCTTGCACGGAGTCATGCCAGACGAGTTGAAAGATACCAAAACAATCAGGTAACCCATATCCACAGATCGCTCTTTTAGAGCTAACATAGGACATGTATCTTTGTGCTATAGAGATACCAAGACCTCTCTCGTCGAGCATGAGGAGCATGGGCGACAATTCTTTTCCTCACTCTACGGTGATGAGGCAAATCGCGTCCAAGGACTTTTAGACTCAATTCTGCCAGAAATGGGTAGGTAATGCGCCGAAATGGATCCTATGTAAAGCTGAGCCACTTTTGGATAGGGTGGTTTAGCAACACCGTTGCTTATGGGCATGTGTATGGTTTCACGGGGGTGACGAACCAACTCGAGACATTATATACCCTCGTTGGATCTCTCATTACTGTCGACACTCCGCTACAGGTCAGTTGGCATCTGAATAATGCACGACGATGCGGAGCGTCCCTCGAGCAGGTACGTGCGGTGCGGCAGATTGCTATTGAAGCATCGAATCTCGCCGGAGTGGTCCGTAGGAACCAAGTTCCAGATGTAGATGAAGTGGGTGACCGAGGGCGACTAAGCGCAGGGAGCCAGCCAGGTCAGGACGGGAATAAACAACCTCGTGCGCGGCTATAAACCATCACCCTAGTACTGGCGAAATCCATTTCCTTCTTATCAGTGAAAAATTATCCTAGAGTCCTTCAGAGAATATACTCTTCATTTGGTTGTCGCTCTTTGGGCATAAGAACTAAGGGATACAGCCGAATGTACGTCGTGGTGGTGCCAGTTGTATAGATGAAGTGGTTGTCATTGGGAAGCTCGTGAATTCTCAGACAAAATATTGGGCTCTTTTACCAAGGTTGGAGTAGCAAGTGGAATATTCATTGATCAAACTGGGGTCCCCAAGACATTGAACTTTTCAAAAAAAACATTTTATAAAGTCGAATAATGTCCAATACAGTCCAATGTTACAAAGATATTGTACGAACGATTACTAGTCTCGTAGTACCCAAGGAAATTTCAGAGCTACCTAACACAATTTCAGTGCCACTATTGAAAGCAATGCCATCAGTTAGGGAAGGGCGAAGGATAAGAGTCTACTAACTAGTATTGGCACAAGGGCCGGTATCTTATTTCGCCTTTTTGCACTTTTTATAGATGAAGATGCAAATACAAATGAAGATCACTGGGCGATGCAATTCTTGTTAGTACGATTCCCCAAAAGAGTAAGGGAGATACGTCAAGTCCTGTCCCAGGAGTGAATGTACTTACAAGCT